TGTGTGTGTGTGTGTGTGTGTGTGTGTGTGTGTGTGTGTGTGTGTACAGTGGTGTTACCACAGCGCCCCCTGCTGACATTTTTATTGAAGTCTGTTAGAGGACAAACTGCAATAAATTAAATGAATGGAAACTTTAACTTTCAATAAAATGTATAAAAAACAATTTTAGATTTAAAAAAAATTAGAACATTGTTTTATTTAGATCAAGCATGTTGTTTTCGGGCGTCAATCCAGTCCCTTTATAGGTAAGTCTTACTACCTGGCAGCCTTCTTTAAAAAACCCTCTGGGCTTTTATTTTGAAGTCAGAGTGTATTATGCCCTGAATCTCATACATATGCATCATGCACTTGCAACATTAACTGTACCTTCTGCAGTATGGGCTTTTCACTCCTGCAATCTTGACTGCAACTCATTGCACTGAAAAGCACTTTAAAGATAGGGACACCCCCTGTAGTATGACAGGGTTGCATGCACTTGTGTTTTGTATCATGTTGTGCTGTTATGTGCCTTACTGTATCGTCTCCAGTTGGTCCAAAATGCAGCTGCATATTACCTCAGTGTTGGCCTCTCTACACTGGCTTCCTGTTCCTTACAGGATCCAATTTAAAATCTTACTTTTTGTTTTTAAATCACTTAACGGCCAAACTCCTTCTTACCTGTCTGAGCTCCTATTTAATTATGCTCCAGAAAGAACCGTGAGGTCCAGGTCAAAACTACCCTTTAACTATTCCACGCGCTAAACTGAAATCTCATGGTGACAGAGCCTTCTCTGTGGCAGGTCCCAGACTCTGGAATAGTCTTCCTCTTAATATTAGATCATACAAATGCTCAAACACTTTAAACCTTTACTAAAGACACATTTTTATAGTCTAGCATTTAAAACACATTGACCTAAACATTTTGGTTTTTGTGGTTGTTGTTTTAGTTGTTTTTATTGACTATTTTATTTATTTATTAATTTTTCTATATTTTACTGCATTGTTGTTGTGCATTTTATTTATTTTAGTGGCATTTTACATTGTTAAGCACTTGCATCATGGACTTTGGAAATGTGCTGTATAAATAAACTTGACTTTGCTGTATGTGTGAGCACACTAAGACAAATTTCCATTAACTATATTGTTGAAATGGCCCAACAACTTTATCCCTTTTTTTCCACCACCAGGTTGCACTTCACAGAAAGCCTGATAAATTCTGGTGAACCAAAAACATGCAGTAGTGAATTATTATTTTGAGATAATTGACCAGTATTTTGAGACAATAATCTTAAAATGAGATTTGAGATACTAATCAGAACTATTGGGTAAATCTCAAAATTTTGAGATGACAATTGACCAAACAATTTCAGATAATTCACTCAAAATATTGAGATGATGACCAAAAGGTTTTCATAACCCAGAATTATGAGCTATTTACCCAATATTTTCAAATAATAACCAAACATTCTGAGATACCATAAATTTGGGGTAAACTATCTCAAAAATTTGAAATGTTCACCCAAGATCTTGAGAAAACCCTAAATTTTAGACATGTGGGATAAATGATCTATAAATTTGATATAATTTACCCAAAATACTGAGATATTAACCCCATGTTTTGAGGTAACCCAGGCCTTTTAGATAAATGGCAATTTTTTAGAACATTTACCAAGCATTTTAGATAATCTAAACAAACAAAAAAAAGAGATAATGACCCAATATTTTGAGATAACCCACAATCCTGACATACTAACCCTAAATTTGAAGTAAACTATCTGAAATCTGGAATAGTGAACACAAATTTTGAGATAACCCTAAATCTTTAGATAATGACCCCAAATTTTGACAGTGTTGAGACAATTACCTAAAATTTTGAGACAATAACCCTACATTTTGAATGTAACGTTTTGATATTTATGGGTTTTGTTTGAGGCCCAGAAGAAGTAAAAACAGAAACCAACATTATCCAAACATCATCTTAGGCCAGGTGATTTCACGGAGCTATTCAGTGACTTTTGGATGGGCATTATGTGCTCATTGCATGGCTGATTCACCTGAATGGTATTTTACCTAACTGAGACAAACAAATTAAGGGGAGTGTTCCTATCCAAACCTGTCATACTGTTATAGTAAAATATAATAATATAATATTAAATAATATAATAGTAAAATATAATAAAATTGGTCCATCTTAAAAACATTAAAATAATTTTTTTTGGTCACTTTTCTAACCTTCTATAAGGCTACTCTTCTTAATATTTGTTCCTTAATTAGTTTTTCTTCTTTATATATTATTTTCTTTATGTATAAATAACTGATGAATCAACATAAATGGTAAATGGCCTGTATTTGTATAGCGCTTTACTAGTCCCTAAGGACCCCAAAGCGCTTTACACATTCAGTCATCCACCCATTCACACACTGGTGATGGCAAGCTACATTGTAGCCACAGCCGCCCTGGGGCGCACTGACAGAGGCGAGGCTGCCGGACACTGGCGCCACCGGGCCCTCTGACCACCACCAGTAGGCAATGGGTGAAGTGTCTTGCCCAAGGACACAACGACTGAGACTGTCCGAGCCGGGGCTCGAACCAGCAACCTTCCGATTACAAGACAAACTGCCAACTCTTGAGCCACAATCGCTCCATAACACTAAGCAGCAGATGGTTTCTGGCGGGTGAAGGGGCGTTCACTGACTCCTCTGTGCTGGAAACTATCTGGCAGCTGAGTTTAGTCATTTCAGCTCCGAGGTCGGAGGGATTATGGAAGATTACAGGTGAATGGAGGTGTGATTGGCTGCAGATGTCCTGTTAGTCTTTCCATGAATTTAATGATCGACAAGATTCACCTGCTGATCTGATACAACCCAGAATAACCCGGCGATGACGACTTCCTGTTAATCAGCATTTTTACAGATCAAAAAAAAAAAAAAGATTAAGACAGTATTTGATGCTTTTCTTTGTCACACAGGGCATTAATGGGAACCTTTCTGGAGTTTAGAGCAAGCAAAAAATCTGAAGAAAAAGATTATCAGCACTGGTTAATTTTTAATATGTTAGGATTTTGGAGAGATGTTGCTTATATCTTTAATTTGTACCAATTTGCTGTGGATGACCTAGATTTATTAGTTTTTTTTTTTATTTATTAATACATCTAGAGCCATCTGTAAGATCCCCAGTCTTTGCTGTATCTTATAGGTTATGACTAATATAATGTCAAACCCTAAACCTGAAGGTCGGGCTGCTCAATTTAGGCAAAACTCAGCAAAAACAAACATAATTGTAACTATTCATTCACTTAACTGTCATATATTTGTTGAACTTTAAAAATACATGTCTTTTTACTGGAGCTTCCTTGCTCTTTAAATAAAACTGGGTCATTCAATGCCAGCTCATTAAATTCCTCCCACCTGACCATCACAGATTTGCCTGGAAACACATTTCAGGGCAAAGATGCACTTATTTATTTATTAGAAATTTCCATTGTCTAAAGAAGTCCATCTGGATTTGGTGTATGGTGTCATACATGGGGAATATCACAATGAAGTTGGACATTTGTTTTGATATCTGTGAAACTACCTGCATTATTTCAAAGATATTATGTTCCTTAACACATGAAGGTTTGAGACCAGGAGGATACACAAATCCTTACGGGGCATCTGGCATAAATATGCCAAATCAAACATGTGGCGCTACCTGCTGTGGTGAGCCCTGTGAATATGTGCCTCGTACATGAGAAGCTCTGGTTTCTACAGGCAAATCTGCTGCCAGATATCTAAATACTTTACCTAGAGCTCCACTTCTGGGAGTCCACATTCATAGAAACATGCTCCCAGATATTCCGCCTAAAACATTTATTAAGGGGTTTTCTGCTGAGGTTTCTCATGTGATGTCGTGCCCACAAGGCATGAGGCAAAGGGCCGCCATTTCCAGTTCGTTACATTTTTTGTTTCACTACAGCTCAGAGGGCAGCTGGATGGAGTTTGTGGACAAATCCATCACTTCAAAGCAAAATATGACCTCTGCAAGACGCCAACAACTAAACCAAGCATAAGGAGGTATTTGTCACCTGGTTGGGGAATAGACATTTGTTCCTAGTGCCAGGTGGTCACTAACATGACTGTGTAACAGAGGCTTTAGCTATCATTTCCCCTTTGAATGCAATCAATCAGCAAACAGTTGGTAAATACTTAATAACAATAATATGAATTCCTTCATGACAAGTGGTTTCAGACTGGTTTCTGGGCCTGTGACTGGGGCCTTATTTACTTGATCATTCAGTTACCATGATTGTCACACATCACAAATGATAACTTGGGAGTTCGCCTTGTAATCGGAAGGTTGCCGGTTCGAGCCCTGGCTTGGACAGTCTCGGTCATTGTGTCCTTGGGCAAGACACTTTACCCGTTGCCCACTGGTGGTGGTCAGTGGGCCAGTGTCCGGCAGCCTCGCCTCTGTCAGTGCGCCCCAGGGTGGCTGTGGCTACAATGTAGCTTGCCATCACCAGTGTATGAATGTGTGTGTGAATGGGTGGATGACTGGTTGTGTAAAGCGTTTTGGGGTCCTTGGGGACTAGTAAAAGCGCTATACAAATACAGACCATTTACCATAACTTAATGTCATGTGGTTAGTGGTCACATGTCTGCAAAACCACAACATAATGAAATGCAAAATGATCCCTTAAAAAAGCATCTGAAACCACCTCTACCTCTGAAACTTAGCAGATTCAGTTTTTAATTACCATTAAAACTGCTGGGTTAGTGTTGGACAAAGATCATTGTTGGGGTTAAACTACAACAGTTGCCACTTTTCTAAAAACTCCAGGAAGAAGCTCTGTTTCAAGCGCAGAGACAGAAATGAGAACAGAAAACGTCACAGTGTCACCTTTCTTCGGCATGCTGACATGCCACTAGTGCTGTCATGGTAACACGTGGTCTGGAGCTGTAGATGGTTGCAGCAATACGGAAACCATTTTTTCCCCCAAATGTGGTCAGTAAGTTTTGATGAACGAAAAGACCAAAAATACACACCAAAATCTTTTAATGGTCAAACTGGACAGAAATAGAAAAACCAATAAACATCAGTATATGTACACCCAGCATTCTTCACACACACAGACTCCAGAACGCCTTCACATGTCATCGACCATCAAGCACAGTGTTCAATTCATTAACAAAGCTTTGAGACGACAAACAAAACATTCGCTTCTTTAAGTTCAGTTCAAAAATCAGCCAATAACCATTCATTACACCTTCTCTTTTATTCAGCTGAAACCAGACAAAAACAATGGGTTTCTGCCAAACTCCTTAAAATTTTAAAAATAAGGTGCTTTAGTCCTTTAATAAATGGACAAACTGTGGCATCTTTAAAATATCAGAACTTCCACATTTAAGTTAAACCAAAGAACTGAGAATTTGTGGTCTGGTTACAATCGATTGTCAGGAGATGTTAACAGGTTATGAACGATCATGCACCATGAGAACTGGGTTCTTATTACGATTGGGAAATTTAAGGATTCATATTTTCTCCTTTTTGTGCGTCTAAAGCTGTACAGAAATGTCAAGCCAGCTTCTTTTGTGCTCTCGTGTGTTTGCATAGTTTGGAATTTGCAGCATGAAATAAAGGATGTCAGGAGATTTTTTTTTTGTTTCTTTTAAACGGACAGACGTCAACCCTGAAAATAGAATGCAAGCAGCCCACCACCTCGACGAAGTCTTCAAGGGAAAAAAAAAAAAAAAAAAAAAGGGAAGTCCATGAAGAACATGTTTTAGCTCTTTAACTACAAACTGCTGTAGGGAGGTCAGAGCAGAGACACTCTAATCTGCCGAATCTTAACAAGATGTCATATCCAGAAGACAAACAGTGGATTCAGGTGTTTAAAGTATGCCAAAGAAAGAGTTATTGGAATCAGAGACAGATTTTTGGATCAGTGGCATTCCACAGGGATTATACCAGGATCCTATTTCATTTAAAATGGTTTAGTTTAGGGTTTGTTTGTTTTTTTAAGGTTATGTTTGTTTACAGTAGTTTAGAAGTGCAACAGATTTCTTCTGATGAAACCACCCAAATATTCAAAATTAATCAATTTTAGATCCTTTGTCCTTCTCCTGCATACCCATCATCTATCTCTTAAACGTATTAATTTGAGGTGATTTGATTTCATGTGAAAACATTCTCTACAAATTCATTACTGTACTGACTTACTGTTTAGTAGCACAGATCCAGACTTAATTCAGAATTTTAAAGCTTGAATCAGCTTTGTGCTTAGTGACATATACTGATGTCCCTGCCAAGTCTCTTCAAAAAGACCAAAGCATAAATCGGCTATAATGAATGAAGTCAGCATCAGTGCATGTGCCAAAATGAGATCCAAAAAGCTGCCGGTGAATACAAAAACGTGGCATTTAAGATGATTTAACGACCCTTACAAGGAATAACTGTTATTAAAATTGTAGTTCTCATTATTTGACAAAAAATGCCCAAATTGTTCCAGTCACACAATCAATCTGCAGATATTTTTATTCACCGTTTTTGGGACTGGCTAGTTAATTTAACACAATGATATCCACCACTGTGGGCTGTGAAAAAGCTTTTAAGTGAATTCTGGCGTCTGCACATGCTCCTTCCTTCGCTTGTAGTTACTGAGCTAAAACCCATAGAGCGCCAACCGTCAGGACATTCAGCGCTCAGTTTCTGCAGCCGATCTCCTCCTTGTAGCGATTCGTCAGTGTGTTAGCTTTATGCGTCAGTTTCGACAGAACCGCGTGGAGTCCATTCAGGTGGAAGTGAAACTGCTTCTCCAGGTCATCCTCCTCTGCCACCACCATGCTGGCCACACCCGCCTTCTCCTTCCGCAACTCCTCGCCTTGCACGACGCCCCACTCGATGTCATTGCGGATGGATTTAAGCAGGATGTATGAGCTGTACATGTCAGTATCAGGCTGGAAGTAGGCGCTGTCGTGAGTGGGGCTGGTGCTACCTGTGCCACCACCGTCATCCCCACCATCCCCGTTCTCTGTCGGCTTCAGGTCATCCCTGTCGTCCAGCGGGACGTCCCGCAGCAGGCTGGGCAACATCACTGTCTGGTCCATGTTGTTGACAGCGCCAATGAAGCGGTTCATGGCGTTGAAGAGCGAGTTCTTCTGGTTGTAGGAGTCAGGTATCTGCATGACGGCGGCTGGTGAGGGCCCGTGTTGGCCAGCGGTCGCAGCGCCAAACTTAGCCCGCTAATGCTCCTTAAAGGATTACTGAGAGACTGCGGAGGCACTCACTGCTCCAAAATGGGCCAGCTCCTGAGCTGAGGGCCCCGTGTTTCTGCTGCAGGACTCCAGCTGACCCCAGAGGCATAAACCTGATATAAAAACACAAAAGGAAGAGGAGGAAGGATAAAGCAGCTTCAAATGGAGACCCAGCATATCCAGGACATCTCCTGGACATGCTGGACACCCATGACATCTGCAGGGTCATTTGAGGCCTTCATGATTTAACTACAAAGCTCAGGGATGGGGGAACTAGCCAGCTTTAACAGTATATCCTGCATCCATTATCGGACATCGGATTCCCCCCGCCTCACCGCCGTTACTCACTTCATATTCAGCCACCTCTGTTGCTGCTGAAGATCGGTTTGCATTATTTAAATCTCTCTGTGCTGCACAGCCACAGCCTCGCATGCAAATAAACGTGAGGTGCTGGCAACGTTTTTTTTAAAAACAGCGTGAACACCTGCGGTGGCAGCCCGGGCAGAGGAGGAGGGGGGTCTGCAGGAGAAAACACGGAAATGAAGGGGAATCACGGCACCGGCCTCTACCTGCTTCATTCTAAAGCTAAACCAGGGGACCTTTGAACAGGCGGGCCCAATAAACCATCCTTCCAGTCTATGTAACTGTGAATTAGCGACGCTTACACCGCTTGAATCTTCATTTTAACCGGAACAAATGACCGTCGGGCTGCTCTTATTAGCCTCGCCACCCCAGCCAGCGGGTGATTCCGGGTACCGTTAGCTCGCTAAGTCTACTTTTAAAACGGGTAAACACCGGCGGCAGTGCGCCTACGTCAGCTTACCGTATGTCGGCTGTGGTTCCTGGGTACCAAGTCGCTGCTTCTGCCCGTTAAAGCTGTCCGGAAAAGGGATCTTGCAGACGGTCGGGCCGGTGGTGGTTGTTAGGGAGGCAGGAGAGTCGGGGCGGAGCAAAACATGGGATCACGATCACAGCCAATCACAGAGGGTGTGACGTCACGGAGAACGTCGGATAGTGTTGCATTGTTTATAAACTGACTTGAATAAAAATAAAGCTTTGGAAATAATATATTTATTTACATTTAAGGTTTACAACGAAAACAGTAGTTACATTAAAATTTAAATATATTATTAAGACTTTGTTTTATTTTATATTGTTTGTCACGTTTTGACTGATGCAACCTTGTCCCCCCTCTTTGGGGAGAAATAAATGTTACTTTTGTATGAACAAACAAATAAACATCAATATCCTCCTGAGAACCCAGGAAAAAAGAATCTTCCCATGAAACGTTTTTTGTGATTTCCTTCCTATTTGGAGGTAACAGAGACAACCCAAACACATCAGATATCAACGGAAAGCCCAAGATGTCCTTTATTTAGTACATCAGGACTTAGTAAGGTAGCTCAAATAAATCAAAAGATATAGATCAAATAATATACATAATGATAATGATTATAAATCAGACTAGATTATATTTCAAAGGAGTCAAGGATGATGTTACTAAATGTTCATTACAAATTTAATTTAAAATATTACAACTTTTAAAACTCACTAGAAGTTTCTGATTCCATATAAGGAAGGTTTTCACAATCTCATGCTGTTGTTTTCATGTCCAAAAATGACTATTTTAAAGATTATTTCACATGTTCTAACGTGTTTGCATGGATCCACTCAGGGAATTCTGGTTCCCCACAGTCAGTTCTAAAACATGCATGCTAGCTTAACTGGTGATCCTAAATTGTGTGTTATGTGTGATTATGGTGGTCTGTCTCTAATGGATGGATGTGTAAAACATTGCCCCCGTCTGGCTCCACATTATATTACGACTGAATTCTTCCCCAGCCATAAAGTATTTATTTTCACTGTGTATTTTAGTTTATTACCAGGATGCTCTTTTTTTAAATAATGCCAAACAGCAGTAGGTATACTTGTCAGCTTCTTATTAACACAAATATCTTATCAGCCAATCACATGGCACTAATGCATTTAGGCATGTATAAAATAATCAAGACAACCTGCTGAAGTTCAAAGTGAGCATGAGAAGGGAAAAGAAAGTTGATTTAAGCGACTCTGAACATATGATTGCTCTCTAAGACAAAATAGCTCAAGAAGATGGCAGCTTTAGTATTCAGATGGTGGGTTTACAATTTGATGAATGACATGCAAGAAAGGGTCTCTCCAGCTTTGTATCAGTGGTTTAGTTTTTTTCTGGTGTAAAGGTGTGATGGATATTTTCTTGCTGAGCATTGTTTAAAAGCCACAGTCTACCTATGTATTGTTAACTATCCTAATAATTCTTCCATTAGGAAAACGCACCATGTCACGAAACTATATCTCAAAGTGATTTCTTGAACCTGACAGTGAGTTCTCTGTACTCCACTGGCCTCCACAGACACCAGATCCTCAATCTAATGGAGCACCTTTGGGGATGTGGGTAAACAGGAGATTCTTGTGGATGGATTCACATGGATGTGGAGCTGACAAAGCTGCAGCAACTGTGTGATGCTATTATGTCAAGGTAAAGTTACATGTTACATGTAAGGTTTTCTTATGTTGGATTTATCGACACAACACGCAGCCTCCTTTATTTTGTTGAAAACATTGCATGTCTCAAATAGTTATCAGTGAGTTTGTCATTCAGAAAACAGAAATATAAAATCTGTCACATCACAGTACACAGAATATGAAACATGAACAACACGTCTTTCAAACACAGCACACTGCCACAGAATCAAATTTCAACTTTAACCTAAAAATGTGAAAGCCTTTCAAGTGTTCTGGTGCCCCTAAGAGGGCTTTCTGAATATGATTGTTACTGACAACAGGTTTTTTCAGGACCTGAGCCTGACACACATACAAAGAAAGATCCTAACAACACAAAGAGAGAGAACACAAAGGGGTCAATTTTCAGTATTTCACAGCAAGACACAAAATAAATACAAGAGGAATGCTAACAGTGTTTGTATGTGTGTGTTTTTCCTAAGGTTTCCATGGTGATGTACATCTTATTCACTTTCCTGCAAAAGAAAACACAGACAAAGGAGATGGAGGTAAACAACAGCACATGCTTGTTTTACATTCACTTAAAGAGTTGAGAATGTGGTCAGGTAAACTTTAGATTAAAGTTGGGTGTGTTCAGCTTTAGTGTAAGTTAGGTGTAGGTCTATATTGGGGGTACATCAAATATAGTTATGAGGTTGGAGTTAGGTTGGGAGTAAGTTTAATGTTGAGTCTTGGGGTAGGCTAGGTGTAGCTTTAGGTTTTAGCTTGGTTTGAGATAATAATAATAATAATAATAATAATGTCATAATGTGTATGTGCTAGTCCCCATGGGGAATTTACTCCTCTGCATTTAACTCATTCACCCAGTGAAGCAGTGGGCAGCCACCAATGCAGCACCCGGGGAGCAGTGTGTAGGGACGGTACCTCAGGGTAGCCGTTCAGTGGAGTCAAACCCCCGACCTTCCGATCATGGGGCAACCACTCTACCTACTGAGCTATCCCTGGCCCCAGCTATCCCCGCAGGTAAGGTGTAGTTTAGGTTAGGAGTAGGTTTAAGGTATAGTCTTGGGGTAGATGGTAGATTGAGGTAGGTCAGGATAGATGTAGGATTGTGAAAGGTTATATAGGTTGGGTAAAGGTTAATGTTTTGTATAGGTGAAGGTCTCAGTTTGTATTAGTTAGGCTTGATTTAGGTCAAGATCTAGACTTGCATTGGTTGTGTATCTCTAGGTTTGGGGTAGTTTTAAGTGTAGATTTGGGCTAGGTTCTCTGTGTTTGATGTAAGTTAGGTTTAGTTCAAGGTCTACATGTAGGTTTGAAGTAAGGTAGATATGAGTTAGAAGTAGGTTAAGATCTAGATTTGCGACTTATATAGCCTTTTTCTACTGGTAAGTACTTTCTTACCAAAGCTGTGTTTTATGCTTTATGCACACATTCCTATTATATTTTTTCCTATGCATAAACACTCTAGTTTAGGATACTTTTGTTGTTAGATCTCACTTTCGGGTGGGTTAAGTGTAGCTTTGGTTAGTTACGCTACACCTTGGTTGGTTAGTTAGTGTCCATCAGAAAGTGATAGGTTAGTGCCGGGGACGTGTGGATTACCTGTTAGATCATCTCGTACTGGTTGCTGTTGATGAAGTGAGACAAGCAGCAGGCCAGAGTTACACCGACCAGCTAAAAAACACAGAGAGATGGATTTTATTTCTGCTTCAGTGTCACTGTCTCCTATTGTCTCCTATAGATTCCAAAGGCCATGTTTAGTACCTGAGAGAAGGCAATACCAAAGGTAACTCCAGCAATGATTCCCATGTTGCTCTCTATGAAGGACACAACCAGCTCATAGCAACCCTGCGGAGACAGGGTAAAGTGATTTGCAGTAAATACAGACTGATGGATCACCATCATGTGACCACTTAGTATAATTGTGGTTGTTAGACTTAATAATTATAATAATCTTAATAATCTCCACAAAAAAGCAAATGCAAATGAAAACTTTTGGGAACTGAATTTTCTTCATGTATTATTTGTGCCTTCCTGACCTCTTTGTAGACCTTCTGTGCTGCCAGAGTGGTGTTCTTCAGGTCTGCTTCATTGCAGTCAGAGACATGAACACAACAGCTGGTAGGAATCCCACTGATGGGAAAATACACACTGCTGAACCAGCTGGTGTAATTATAAACTCCACAGCAGTGTAACTGAAGAAACAGAGACAACCAAATCACCACTTTTCAACATCTCATCATGTTTGTTTCTGAATGTGTGAAAGACGTCATCAGTGTAAAATCTGCATAAAAGAACGCTGGACATATCAGCAAGTTTCTCTGCCTATGAAGTCTCTGACATTGTTCCTTTTGCTTCTTTTTGTTTGTTTTTTTTAATTAGGAAATTAATTATCTCTATTGTATGTTATTGTCCTCATGCAGACTGCATATTTAGTTATCACACCAACCCTTAAAATCTTTATTCTTTACGGAGCCCCGCAGGGGACATGGGAGAAAAAAAAAATTAAGACGGACTTTTGCGAGATCTCGCAAAACTTTTAGCCGCATTCTTCGGACGCCGGCTCGAAGCCGACCGGGAGGTCGAGACACGATGTGCCGGGAAAGCAGTGTTCCTCCCGGCTGTAGTAGGTCTCGACCTCCCGTTAGCTCGAAGCTAACGGGAAGAATGCGGCTAAAACTTTTGCGAGATCCCAAGATAGTTTTGCGAGATCTCGCAAAAGTCCGTCTTAATTTTTTTTCCTCCCATGTCCCCTGCGGGGCTCAGAAGTTCTTTAATGACATGAGACATGTTTAATAAAATAAAAGTAGTTATATCATTTTTATATGTTTGAATAACTGCATTAATAAAACATGTGCATCAATATTTGAAATATATTTGATTGCTACCACAGGAGTGTGTATATGTGTGTGTGTACGTATATATAACAGTGACACTGACATTTTTGGTACCCCTTATTGCCTTTAGTAAAACAAGGGGAGGACAACTTTGTTGACTGATCCATGAATAGGGACCGACAGGCTTGCAAGAAGTAAAGTGAAATATTTGCTCTCTAAAGAAATAAAATAAAATTAATGCCACAGAGAGTTGTTTAAAAGTTAAAACTATAAGAGACCAACAATATGACCCTGAGGAACACCCAAAAGAAAGAACAAATGTAGGTGTTGGTAATAAGGTAAAATGCTCCATAGACTAGCAGTTTGGACTTTAGCTTGACAAGTAAAAGATCCCTGGTTTGGTCTCAGTAGAGGACACAAAATCCTTTGGGGTTATGTCAGGAAGGGCAACCAGCATAAAACGTGCCACTTCCTCCCATGGTGACCCTTTGTGAATAAGGGACCACCCAAAAGTTGCTTCTTTTATTAAGATACTTGGCAAGTTTAGAGGTAACTTTTTAGTTTCCAATATACTACTTACGAAACATTAATGAGTGGATCATGGAAAACACCTACTCTGCGTTGGACACCATCCACTGCCACACTCCTGTCATCTCGTCCGTCGTATCTCATCACTGCTGCACTGTAGGCAGTGAGGAATGTCCCTTTAATCTAAACATGCAAACACAGACAGATATTGGTCAGAATGAGCAGCTGTGTTTTTTGAAGGTATTCTGAAAACTCTCAAGTGTGTTTTGACCTCATGACGAAAGACAAATCCAGAGATCCCAGCAATGAGTTCAGTCATGAAGACCAGAGACAGAAACACTGCGTACTGAGGAGAGATCAAAGGTCATGAGGTTGGACAAGGAGTCACACCATACGGAATGAGCAAGTTAACTGGTCATTAAACCTAAAAACTTGATAGATGTATTAGTTAGCAGAGATTTTTTAATTTTGAAACCTTTAGTCACATAAAAAAAAAACCTCATAAAAGGTTTAGTCAGACATTTGTTAACAAATTCCGAGTAAGCTGGAAGACCCACCAGTTTTAACATCCAAGGACGCCCCCTACAGGTGGCAAAACAGCCGAACAGTCCGAACAGGGCAATGGCAGCGCCGGTGCCAGTGAGGACGTAGGGAGCACTGGAAGGGCTGCTAGAGATCAGCAACATGTAGGGACCCAACATGAACTTCCACCATAACCCCACCACCAGCAGGACCACCCCTGTCACCTGAAGGAGTGTTTAAAAAATGAGTGTAAAAGAAAAAGAAAAGAAAAACTTAAAAAATCTACATTGATTGATTGTAATTTGCATTTTAATCTATTTCAGTTCATTGTATTAACTGCTCTATTAAAAAAAAACAAAATAACCCACTAACATTTTGGTAGATGGTTTATTAGTGCGAATTTCTCTCTTTTTAAAATATATATGTTATGTTAGCTAACATCATTTTTATGATGATATGCCTGTTGCTATATTTAGTGGCTATTTTGAAGAACTGGACAAAAGCAGCATTTAAATATACAGTTATACAGTACAATTTCAAATTAGAGACAAATCACTGATGTGCAAGTGTAGAAAAAGAGTAACAAATAATTTTGGTAATGACCTGGGCTGTTTTTATCATTTTACTTGGTTGGGGATTGAATAATTTATTATAATATGAGACAAAAAAAGACGTAGACTTCTTATTTATTTATTTATTTAGTAATTTAGTGAAAAGACTACATAGCCATGATAAAAAATAAAAATCAACAAAAACTTTAGTGTTCACAAACAGCTGATGAAGACATGAACCTCATATGACCACAGATCCCTTATAAACTCATCATTCATTCATAAGGAAGCATAAAGGCGTTTTAGTTTTATACAGTTGGTACGTAAAGCAAGTTACAATGTTTTCTGTCCAGTCAAAAGAAATCATTCTTATTGCAAAAGTTTAATCTGCAAAAGAAGTTAAAGCTGCGCAGCAGACGTGTTGAACCGCACACAGAAGCTGGGACTGTAATTAAGCACCACATGTCTCTGCAGACTCTGACAGTGAAGTGACAAAGTGACAAACAGATGGGAAAAGAAGCTGGACCAGCATCCCCATGACAAACTGGATGCTACATACAGCTGAAACCAGCTGAAAGAATTTAGCTCAGCAGCTGCAGACACAGTCAGAGCACACAGAAGAAGAGCAAAAGTAACTCTGACAAACTCATAATGTCTGCAGTGGTGTTTTCACTCCAGTTTAATTCACTCGTTGTGCTCCGGGGTAGCTCATCGGATGTCTTCAATAATAATTGCATCCATTTTACGGTTCGGCACTTAGTTGTGACAGTTAAATTTAGCAGCAAAGAGGTTTCAGAGTGCACTAATGTCAGGGAATGTCCTCAAAAACATTCCCAAAAAACACCACTGTGGAAATGTGTGCTCCACCCAGTCAGAGTGGATTGGATGAATGGTTGTCAGTAGATGTAGTACAAGATGGACACTGAGATTACTAGAGTAGGTGGTAGGTTTGTGTTTATAGACCAGGTTTCTATAATGATACAAATATATTTAAATATATTTGTGTTTAAAAGAAAAAGATTGTGGGGCATAATGGGAGGAGGGTAGGCGTCCATAGGTCACATCATTCCCAACACCAATCTCAGCCTTTATTTTGAAGTCATCATAAAAATCAATAAAAAATAATTACCAAAGCACTTAAAAGCACCCGGGCCACCATCACCAACTCTCAATACCAGCCTCCTTGTCAAAACTGGTAATTATAAAAATAAATAAATAAAAACAAAAAACATATGAAATGTGATTCAAATCTGCAGTTCTTCTTCTTCTTCTTGCAGTTTGGTTCTTAATTTTTCTCTACGCTACATGAGTCCGTGGATCTGATTTCAGCCTTTCAAACTAAAAATATAACAATATTTGAGCACAGTGTACAAACAAAATCACCTGACATATTTATTAAAAGGTTTGTTTAAAAGGTTCTAACAAGGTGAAATTCCCTTGTTTTGAAAATCACTGTAAATTCTCTTGAGGACCTCTCATGCAAATATCAGTTTCATGATTTATAACTAATTTTTCTGATGAGCCAGCTCTCTATCTGGATACTATGTCTTGTTCAGGTGGTTTATGAGGACGCCTGATCAGATTTGGGAGTAAGACCGACACAGGATGAAAGAGGAGAAAAGGCACTGGCTGCTGGCAGGAGATAAATGAAGGAGGCATTTGATTTTGACTCCCGGTCGTGCCGGGCTGCCTGCTGCGCCTGTATGAGCGTTTCAAAAGGAGTCATGCTGGGATGTTGAAACACTCCGCAGATGACAAGAAAGCCGTCTGTCAGCTGGAGTCACGTCAGGTTGGTTTGATTCGGGATAAAAGTGGGAGTTTGTGTTTGTGCAGCAGACAACAGATTGTGTCTGGGAAGATTAAAAAAAAAATCTGATTCACTTCAACAATAAATGGAGCGGGAAATAATGTTCGATATCTTTATCATTTACTTTGTGCCAGCAACAAAGACAATGGCATTTATAGTAAAATGTGACTCACATGATTCTGCACTAGATTATTTTGTTGTAAAATCTGTTATGAAAGACTAACGTTTGAATCTGGAAAAGAAATAGATCAGATAAGGTCAATATTAAATATTAATTTAATGATAATTTAATTTAATTTAATACTCAGCAGGTAAAATTTTTCTGACAGACTGAACTACAGTCAGCGTCCATCGAGAGAAAACAGTCTCTCCAACACTGAAATCTCATTCAGAGCAAGAGGAAGTTAGTCTGTGCTATTGGTTAGATCTCTAAGACCACACAAAACACAGTCCTCATTAGGACAAATGGGCCACTGCAATAGGAAGGACCTGACAATGATCAGATGCTAAAAATCCAATAGCAACCAAGACTGGAAAAGAAGCTGAACTCAATGAACTCAGTCTAAGCAACAGCTAAAGCTGGGGCAATATCTTGGGCAATACAGCTAACTGGACTGCAATAGAAAGAACAGCAATAAAAATGGCTAGGCAACTACCAGGACAAGGCAACAACCTGGACAAGATCATGATTTGGGCTCCCAAATCTCTAGGCATTAACCACGGCCAAGTGACTTAAACTCTATATGACAACAACACAGACCAGTCAATAACTGGGGCTTACCAGCAATGTTAGGATACAGCCAGAGGTAGGCAACAATCAGTTGTTGCAGCCACAACCATTGTTTTCATGACAAGTAGATTAAGCAGATTTAGGCAATAGAAAACCACAGGACAGACTGCTTAGAAATTAGGGATAGGAAACAAAATGGGGAAAAACAGGACTACTGTAGGCAACAAGTAGGGATACTCTAAACTCTTAACAGAAAGTAGGCCTTGTTAGGATAAATAGGAAGCAACAACAATGACAAGAAAATGTTTATCACCTATAAAACTAACAGCATAAATGAAAAGTCAAAAAACAAATGTAGCCCAATTTGCAGGATTGGGCAAACAATTCAAACAAGGCAACAACCCGTAAAAAACAGCAGTGAAGTAAACAATCAGGAATACAAAACAATGAATCCTCCTCAACAACAGGGTATGGCAACTTTAGGCATTACAAGACGAGAAACCAGACAAGTCAACAATCTGGGTTTTGTAGGCAACAGTTAGCTAAAAAGGAAACAATGTGGACTGGCTAGATAGTAGTGTTAGTCAACTGCTGCAGCAATGATATGGCCAGACTCTTTGAAAAACCTAGGTCATCGGCATCAAGGCGGCCTAGGCAACAAGCAACTAGAAAACATCAACTCAGAGTAATCAACAAACTGAGATAGAAACTACACAGAGGGCTGCAAACAGGACTGTGTAAAAAAAAGACAACAGCTGGGAGAGGATTGTAATGAGGAACAGGTAGCAGCCCAGACTAGACTGTAAATGGGACTGGACTAAAATTAGCACCAGAATTCAGGCCTTGTTAGGACAACTGGGAAGAAACATAACTGAGGACTAGAAAGTAACTAGCATAATCCATTAGGTAACAATCAATGGTACACAGCCACCTGAATGGTTTAAAAAAATCAGTCTAGGGCAATATAGCTGTATGGGTTACAGTGGAAAGCAACTAACAATAAACAACCACGTCTAGGCTGCTAATCAACAGGGCAATGTATTGAGAAAGGAAATAACTGGGACCAGGAAAAAAACAAACAAACAAACTAGTGAACAATAATAAGAAATAGGACTGAGCAACTGATCAGGCCTAGAAAATAAAGGTTGAGTGAAAAGTTGGACAAACTAACAACAACAAATTAAAGATGGTTAGGAAATACAGACTGTTGATTATGAAACAAAACAGGAGCTGGACTAAGACAACCAGACCTGAGCCTGAAAGAGACAGAAAGAATATTCTGATCAGCTCTACTGACATGACTGCTTCCTGTTATCAGGTGTTGTTTCAGCAGTGCCCTCTCCAGAGGTCCATGTCTTCATTTTCAGGTTGGTGTCAGAGCTCTGGCTTCATCCTACTCATTCCTCAGAATCCAGATAATTACCGATCCTATGACCTTTGACTTTGTCCACTTTAAAAATAGATAAATTGTTGAAGTTTTTATCTACTCACCTGCATGTTTAATTAATGCAGCTTATTCTAAAATTTATCAAATTTACACCTATTCAAACTATTTCAGTCTGAGGATTTCAATGACATTTCAGCAGTTTAAACATGTTTTAAACAAACCCGTTGAGCTCTTGGATCTGATTGTGAGACAGGATTTAGCTGAAGTTAAAATAAGACATGAAGAACAGGTTTTCTTACCCAGAAGATGAAGGAGTAGAGCAGCAGCAGCGTCTTCAGGCAGAAGATCGCCGGTTTGGTTTCCATCCTCCTGGGAGCCATAATCCATCTGAGACTGAGGGACCAAAACCAGAACTCCGCTCGTCTTTCTCTCTTTTATCACCACAGGAAGAGGGAAACCTCTCCCTCACGATGACAACCGCTCAGCCCCCTCTGCTGGTTTTACCAGTAACTGCACAACAGAGCAAGCTCCTCATGTTTTATGTTATTAGTTTATCTGTATTAACCTCACATTAATTACAGACAAACACAAGTATAATACATGATTTTCAACATTACGATTTAACAAATAAAACATTCATACAAACACAAATATTCCCCATTCAATCTTTGAACATAAACCCTTATGGACATTTTGCATGTAAAGTCCTTTTAATTTAGGCACATTCTGAAGCCAATACTTCAAGTCAAACTCATAATGGGGGACATTTATGTGTAGCAGGGTAAGTGTTAAGTGTGGTGCTGCTCCTTTCCCCTCTGATAGCCTGCTTTGAGTCTAAGTTCTTTGTCTAAATCTGTCCATTAGACCATGTTGAGCCTCTCAGACGGCTCCACTCTAGATGTGAATCAGTTTTAGTCATACTACAGTGTCTGTAGTGCACATACATATATAAATATTTCAAGTAACCAAGCTCTGTTTAATGGGTGAGGTGTGCTGGGCCTTCACAGGCAGGTGTAACAGCAGCTCAGACTCACTGATAATCACCACCATGTTAATTGTGTGGTCAGTGTGTGAAGAATGAGGCTCGCGTGTTTGTACCATCACTTTCTAACCACCAACCAAACCTGCAATCTGCTGCAGCTTTCAGACCAATCAATCAGATCATTAATGCAGTCAGCAAAATTTCAACTCAATGTGCTTCCTTTCAGTCACATTGATAAACATGTTTGAGCTCTGTGAAATACATTTCATCCCCTGAAAGATTTATTCTTGAGTTTTAAACCACATGCAGCATCATTTTATTTACAGGACTTTAGTGGTGGCTCTGGACGACTGAATGTTAACTTTGACAACATGAGTCAAAGGAAGAAAAGCCAAACCAACAGATGTGTTTAATATGTTTATTTCATTCATATTGCAACAATTGCTTTGAGCAAAGCAGTCAGAATTTAAACTGGACCTTTTCTGCTTGTTTTTAATTCTAGGAATCACTGTTCAAAATTATCCTTATTTATCTCACACTGGGACTTGGTGTAGTTCCCAGTTTATCATCTGCGAAACTAAGAAGTAGTTGCTGGGATTGAAAAGTGTAGCCAACACCTACAGTTCCCCTAATGTGCCTGTGAGGCTCTAAAAGTGAGTCAGTCCCAATAAACTCCTATGTTAAAATGTCCAGCTTTATAATTGAAATAAACATGTTTTTAGCCTGTTTAAATTTAACAGAGGCTTAAAGTTTGCATTATTTAATGTGTGACCTCTTTGGCTAACTGCTAATTGCAGGACTTTTATTGCATTATTTAGCACCTATAAGCAGATATCTGTGTATGTACAGCTCTCCCTCTTGTTCCAAATATGGTCACTTCTGGCTTGAAAAAAAGACTATAGTGGTCAAAATGTTGAGGCTTGACAACAAGACTTTCCAAATCAATAGGAAATTAGGTCACGGTGGTTATCTAAACCTTTTTTAACAACCGTCCCACAGAAAAGCTCACATTCTAATAACTGGACAGCTCATGAAAGGCTGGAGAAGTGCAGCAGCTCTTGGCTATGAGCTGTGCTTTGTCTGTATAATGACCTAACGTTAGCTCTGTAACACTGCAATATTATATATACTCTGCAACAGAAAATGCAGAAAAGGTCCCCTTTGATTAATACCGAGTTTACAAAATTACAACTGAAATATTAAAGTGAAAGTGTAACAAAAAATATTGAATTCTTTCCTATTAATGCTGTATCAGTAGACAAATATTAGAGTAGCACCAGGATATCCTAATATTCTAATCCTATCATAATTGCGTAATATTTGGTCCTTCAGGAGCTTTTCTGGTAACAAGGCTAAACGTGGCTTAATGTGTTCTTGAGGTTTTTTGATTGATCATCAGTGGAGCGTCCTACACCTGAACAGACCAGGGGATAAAGGTTCCTGCTTCAGCCAGAGGACACTGCAATAGAAAAACAGCTGGTAAGTTCAAATATAAACAGTTTTAGGTCTCTCAGTTTCTTTTATCCAAATGACCTTTCTGCATATTTTCAATTTCTCCTTTAAAGACATGAAAAAGATTTAACCATCTCACAATGTAAAACCTAAATGTTGTCATTTGTTTCATCCGTTCTTTTTTATACCCACAAAGCTGAAATTCTTTTGATTTTTTTGATTTTTTCTTTGCATGTTTATCTGGATCCTATCTCTTCAAATCTGACAACAGTGCAGTTTGAGTCAGCTGGGCAGAAAAGAAATAAAACTGTTAATCCAGAGCTGTAACAAGACCTGATTCTCACTAAACCTTTTCATGGACAGGATGCTGTCGTCGGCATAAAAGCTAACAATAAAAGCTAATGGAAACTTGAACATCACAAAAAGTATTTTGTTAAAAGTTGGAGTTATGCTGCAATGAGAACATGGACGATGTAGTTACTCTCATTTTTATGTACTGAGTGTAAACTTTTATGCCTGATTTGTCAAGCCAGATCTTTCACAAGATTTTCATACCAGTTTAGTGAAGCGGTCACTGCAGGCATTGCGGATCCTCTCGGCAGAAGCAGGGCTGTCCAATCTAAATGGCCCGGTAATCCCTGACTCTGCCCGTGCAGCACTGATGGCATCTTTGATGGCATAAAAAACTGAAGATGCCAAGAAGAGAGGAGGCTCACCTACAGCCTGGGAAAGGAAAAACAAAAAGTATAAGTCCGTTAGATCCAGGATCATCAGTTTTTAAACTGTCTTGAGCATTACCAGATTTCTTACCTTGGAGGCAAAGATGGCCTTGTCATTAGGAGCATCACGAAGCAACGAGACCGTAAGCTGGGTAGGAATGTCACCGAAGGCAGGGATTTTATAAGAACCAGGACCCCGAGTGAGGAGGACTCCCTGGGGTGAATAATGAAGCTCTTCCAGGGTGAAGAGACCCAGACCCTGCATGAATGCTCCCTCAACCTAAATGTAGACATGAGGAACGAATCAGTACCATAAAAATGTGGTTTTTGTTTCTTTTATTGGTTCATTGATCCATCAGTTGTCTTTATGTATGAATAATACTTGAATATCTCACCTGCCCGATATCTATAGCTGGGTTGAGACTGTTGCCAACATCCATCACTATGGTGGTACTCAAGTTCTGTAAGACAAATACGTCATGAAAATATCTCAAGTCAGAATTTACCAGTAAAATTGAAAAACTGAAAAAGTGAAAAAAAAAATGTGGTGTTAAACACCTTAATCAGATTGACAGAGGTGATAAAATCAGTCAGAGTTCCTTAAAACGTTTTAAACATTTGATTCAAGAGTTTGAACTCAGATAAATGTAGCTGTACTTGGTGCAGACCTTATGTGATCCGGTCAAACAGTCTATCTCCACCTCTGAACAGGCCACTCCGTAGGAGAAATAGCTGAAGGCTCTGCCTGAGTTTGTTTCAAAGTCATAACCAATATCTGGAGTCCTGATAAGAAAGCGGGAAACAGTGAAACCTTTCATTTTGTTGTAATATGAAGTTAATCAATGATTCATTTGGTGAACTCACTTATAAAAACCATTTGCACTGAGGCTGACTCTGTCAAAGTAAGCTGCTTTCACCTGGTAAACAGACACAAATACACCAAGTACAGTTAAAAGATGAATATTTAATGGGAATAAAACCCCCCCCCAAAAAAGTACTATGACAAATTTAGCCCTGTTTACCCAGTCCTCCCACGTTCCATTAGGATTCTTGGCCTTGAATGGCTCAAGACGTTTCAGCAGGATCTCGCAGGCATTCTTCAAGGCAGCACCATTGAGGTCTGAGGATGCAGAGGCAGCGGTTGCACTGGTGTTGGGAACTGTGTTGGTGCTGGTCTCTGATATGTGGATCTTTGAGGAGGGGATACCCAGAACTCTGCTGGCAACCTGAAAACACACAGCGAAGACAGTTCTGAATGCTTCTGAATGGCTGAACAGCTTCTCACTAAATTGCAGTAGTGTAAAAACTGTAAACATCCAATGTGATGTTTGAAATAAATATGTGGATTTTAAATAGATGAGTGGAGTCCTTTACCTGAACCATCTTGGTGTGAAGTCCTTGTCCCATTTCAGTCCCTCCATGAGTCAACAACACTGAGCCATCTGTGTAGATATGAACCAGAGCTCCAGCCTGAAGACAAATCAAAACAACCAATCAAGGCTGCTCACGATAAAAGAATAATAGGAACTGTTTAAACTTAAAATATTTGTTTGTTTGTGTATCAGACCTGGTTTAGGAAAAGTGCAGTGAAGCTGATGCCAAATTTGGTAGGAACAACAGCAATTCCCCGTTTGGTCCATCGGTTCTGTCTGCCCAGAAAACAGAAAATGATCATTTTGAAAAAGTAAGTTTCATGTTTTTATTTCTTTTCTCAAACCTTTTTGCGTCTCATCCCACAAAGTACATTTTTAGAAGTTATGCAGACTGGATAATTATTACCTCTTGCGTTGCTAAAATTGCTTCGAAACTTGTTCTTATCCACTCAAAAGTACTGAAATTTTGGTCTAAATAAATTTCTCTTACCTGTTGTAGAGGTCAATGGCAATTCGACGTTGCTGGTATCCAGAGCGTGACATGCATTCATCCCAGCAGCGGTCTAAGGTGATCTGGTCCAGGACTTGATTAAATGGAGTTGAATCACCTTTCATATACAAGTTCAACCGCCGAACCTACAGGAGGATGGAGACACTGACTGGACTGCCATTCATTAACTAGACTTAGTTGTTTATCCAACTTCAGTTATCCACCAACCTCCTCAGGCGACTTCCCCAGACTCTGAGCCACATCGGTCATCCAGTTCTCTGCCACCATCATACCCTGTGGCCCTCCAAAGCCTCTGAAAGCGGTGTTGGATGGCAGGTTGGTGCGGCACAGGAAACCTCGGCCACGTATATTTGGCACTCTATATGAGTTCTCCATG